CCACCTGCCCAGAAACCTCAGCAGCCAATCTGCCCCTATGCCACCAGAGCTGGGCCACGTGTCATCTACAGGCTTCTCCCAGGTCTTTAAATGCCATCCTGCTTACCTCGTGGCCTTTGCACCTACAGTTCCCTCTGCCTTTGCCTGGCTAATTCCAGCACCCAGAGCAGGAGCTCAGGGGATGTTTGCTGAATGAATGAACAAACTACATTGCTTGGGGCAGGAAGAATAAATCGAGAAACTTAGTAAACAGCAATCCATGAAGTACTGCCAGGGCCCAGCCCCAGGCCAGACTCCAGCCTTCTCTGGCTTTCCTGAAGCCACAAGGATCTCCATGACAGCTCCATCTCCCTCTGGATCATGGCAAATATGCCTGGGGGCTCTCTGAGGGCCTAGCAGAGTCCAATCCTTGTTCAGATCCCTAGTGCTGCCCAGCAGAGGGGCAGGCCCAAGGGAGGCCTGAGGAGATAGGCATAGAATAAATGACGGAAGGAACGAATCTTTCCTCCACCTGGTGAACACTGACTCTTCCTTCAAAGCGGACCTGAACATCCCCTCCTCAGGGACCTGCGGTTCAAGCGGACCTGAAGCCTCCCTGACTCCACCAGGCTCCCTCCGCTGGGTGTCTGCAGCTGTTGTCCCTCCTGTGATGGCAGTGGTCAACCCTCCTCTGCACATGTCACTGTAAACATTCTCTACCAGACAGGAATTCCTCCTGAAACGCTAGGTGGCACCCAGCAGGTCCAGAAATATAAACAAAAAGGGGAAAGAGGATTTCCCAGGCAGAGGGCATGGCACAGGCAAAGATCAGGAGGCTGGAGACCTTGGTCAATATTCAGAGAACAGACAGACACTATCTAATTCTGGGATTAGGACCGAGTCTGTCCACCTAAAGCAGGCCTTTTGCAATCATGCTTCTGGAACCTAGAGGTGCCAGAAGCCCCATGGGGAGGTCTGCCAGGCTGACCCCAGCCCTGTGGCCCCAAGCACCTTCTTGGGGTCCATGTTGAACTTCTTCCTGCCCATTGCCATCTTCCGGTTCCGCTGCAAGGTCTTACTGCAGGACAGAGAGAAAGGAGATGGGGGTGTCAATGCCTGGGCGGCCCTGGCTCAGTGACCCCCAGGTTCCCCATCACAGCCCTCACCTGCCCTCATTGGCCTCCAGACCCTCCACCTCGCTCATCGCTTCACTGAGCTCCTCGCGCAGGCGCTGGATCTCCACCAGCAGCTCCTGCTTCCGCCGCCGGATGTTCTCCAGCTCCATCCGCTCCTCTGGGGTCAGGTCTGGGGGCTCTGGGGGGCAGGGGTTGGAGATCAGTTCTGGGGACCGGGAGCCTATTTTTCTGTAATCTGGGGAATTATAGTGCTGGGAGGGCATGACTCCTAGGTTCAGGGGGAGGATGAAGGTGAGGGTTGGGCCTCCTATCACTGCTAGGAAAAGGGACTAGGGGCCTGAACTCTAGGTCAGCGGAACAATGGGCTGGAAGCCTCAACTCTTGGTTCATTACTTGGAAAGGGGGCTGAGGCCCAGTTTTCTGCTTCTATTCCTGGTGATGTAGCTGGAGGCCTGGGTATCAGGACGCCTGAGTCCATGAGAAGTAACTATGGCAGGGGAAGCTGACGACAGCTCGTGAAGAGTTGGGGAAGGGGGCGGGGCAGCAAAGGCCACGGCCTTAGTGTGATCTTTGTAACCCCCAGATTTCTCCCTCACCCCACCGCCCCCAGAATCCCCCCTCCCTGCTCCCAGCAGGCACTGGGTTCGTCCGACCCCTCCATGGGGAATGGTTCCGCCCGGCCTCCTCGACTCCACAGCTCCATCCCGCCCCCTCCCGCCGCCACCGGAAACAGGATCGGCCCAAACAATGGCCTGGAACGCCCCGCTCTCGGGCCCCGCCGGAAGCCCATCCCGTGCCCCACAAAAGCGAGGCAGCGACGACAGGGCCCGAACAGCTCCGTGTGACACGCGCCAAGAGAAACGTTCGCAGTAGAATGTTCGGCACGAAGGGCTCCATCCGCATCTAGCCGGCCCCACCCCTCACCGACCTACCATAGACACCGTCCTCCATGGCGGCGAGGAAGGCCCGCGGGGAGTCCGGGGCGGTCCCGCCGGTCGGGCCTGGATCCGCGTTGGCCCGCGGGCTCGGGTGAGCCCGCTCAAACGCCCCAGGAGCCACCGCCGCCTCCTCAGCGCCAGTCCTCAGCGCTGAAAAGACTCTCCCTACGCCTCCCAACCGCCCCGCCAGTAGGCACCGCCCCTCGTTTTGACACCGTCCAATCCACTGCGGACCCTTTCGTTTGCTCCGCCCTCGGCGTCAAAAGACAGTTCTCCAGGGCCAATAAGCGCCCAAGGAGCAGACGTAGCGGGGTCCGGCCGGAGGAAGACGGTCTATGGGACCAATCGGAGTGCGGACTGGGAGCTGGGCACCGCCTCCGAAACAAAAGAAGTCCACTTGGCTGGCTTGCGCGTCTAAGATAAGCCTCTGAAAGGAATTGCACGGAGGTGGGGCTACGCTGGAGCGTAGAGGCTTGCGCCTGTGCCAGGCCTATGGACACTTGGATACTAGTTCAAACAAGCCCTGCTGCTAGTTATACGTTGTTGGGGGTCGGTACTTGTTGCCAGAGGGCAGGGCCACAGCTGGGAGTTGTTCCCGTGAGCCACACCTCCTAGCGATCAAGCTGCTTTTTGACCGCAGCGGTTGCCGGGCAACCGGGAGCAGCTTTGGCTTACTTTGCTTCGGCCGGCCTCCTTTCTCCGGCTTCTTGGCTTCTCCGATCTGCAGACCCTTTTCTTACCCCCTCCCATCATCCTATCTACCCCAGCCTCTTCTAAGTTAAGAAGTGGTGGAACAAAGACATTCTTTCTTTGAAATGTTACGCAATTTGGCACCTGTCAAAGGAGAATAGGACAGTAGGAGCAGGCTAATTACAGTGAAAGCTCAAGGCTCCAGCCTTTCTGGAGCTCGGTACCTCAAGGTCCTCCCTCTCCCCTAGAACTCCTCCCCTTATTTTAACATCCTCTCCCCAAGACAACTCCCCTTTCCCCAGCACCCTTCCACCTTCTCAGAGTCCTTTCTCTCCTCCCTAGCTCGCCTAACTTGAGGTTCACTACTCCTCGCACGCTCACTCTCCTTACACTCCATCTTCTCAGAGTCCTCCCGCATCTGGGGTCTAACCCCACCGCAGACTCTCGCTCCCATTTCTTGCAGCCAAAGCAGCTGCAGGACCCCCACTAGAATAAAGAACTTGGGCACCCTGTCGCGAACAGGTCCCTAATTGGGTCTGAGGTGGTGCCTGGGCCTCGTCCTCACTCGCCGACCCTGAGCTGGGCAGGTGGGGACAGATTCAGGGCTTGGACCCGGTTAAGCTGACAGATTAGATATGGAGTTTCCTAATCTCCTCACTGACCTTTATGCCTGGCCCAGGCCCTGCCCTCCCCATTGGAAACCAGGCTGTGCCAGCCCTGACCCCACTGTCTCTCCTTCTGAACAGAACCTTGCCCCTCACCTCACACGTGACATCTTTCTCCATCCCTAATTCCATTGCATGTGGTGTCTACCCCAGACACCCTGAGCTGGGAGAGCAGCCAGCTAATTAATCCCATCCGGTGATTACATGGGGATTCTAAAGGATAAAGGGAGGTGGGGAACCCAGAAAGAGGGACCTGGGTTGGTGCAGCACTTGGGCAGGCTGATGGGCCATTGGCGGTACCTGCCCTCCATCCTGGGACACCACGGGTGGGAGCATGTCCTCTCTGGCACTGGTTCTCTCTGCAGCTGGCTCCCTGCCTGCTGGGCACTTAGGTAGACAGAAGCATGGGGACAGGCCAGGTCCAGAAACACAGTCACAGAAACAGCACCGGGGCTCCCAGTGGTTTAATCTGGGGGACAAGTCTCCCCCTAAACACACTTACCCCTGGCAATCACAGCTACCTCCTTCCCCTGTCCCCCAAGCTAGACCAGGGAGGGGGCAATTCTGGCCCTTCACCACGGCCCACACTGCACCTTGCCTGCTCTGTCATTCAGACATCCAAGTTCAGAGCAGGCCTCCGAGAGCATCTCCCATCGCGGCTGCCCCTGGAAGACTATTCCGGCACCAGGGAGAGCAGGGAAATCCCTGAGCCCTTCAGCCCCACTCACCCTCAGTGAGGTGAGGAATCATCTTGCTGGAAAGAGTTCAACTTCCAATGCCCCATTTTTACAGATGAGGAAACTGAGGCGAGGAAAGAGGAGTGATTTGCCCAAAGTGACACAGTACTGGAGCAGAGTTGGGATTTAGAGCAAAGCTTCCTAAATCCTCATACAAGAGTCCATTCCAATGAGCTCTGCCTCCATTTCTAACCCTTCTATAAGAACCATGGGAAAGACATAGGTAGATATCTGCATTTATATTATACATAATACACATATTTTAATGTCTTTAAGAAACAGACACATATCACTAGGGGTAGGATTCCAGGGCACTGCAAACTCACCAGCCTTGGGCCTCTCCCTTCCCTCACCCAATAACCAGCCCTGTTACCCACAGGGCCTTGCCTGGGCCCTCGCTTTCTAGGTCAGCCCAGCAATGCTGTGTGTCAAGGCCTCAGTCCACCTCCTAGAACCTCCAGGTTTTAATAATGGACGACTCCGGATCCCTGAAGCCCAGGTTCCCTTTGGCATCACAGAACGACAGAGAAGTCATCTAGAATCGCTGCTCCTTCCTGGACTCTGTGATTAATCTACAGCCACAGAATCTTGATTCCTTTGGACATTCTAGAATGGCACTTGGAAAGAAAAAAAAAAAAAAACACCTGTGGATCATTTCAAAGCACTGATGATCCCCTTTGCTTCGATGCTCTCCAGCCTGCAGTCTGGAGTTGTATTAGAAACTCCCCATCGTTTCTGATAAAACTCACAGACCCGCAGACTCTCCGTCGAGTTGTGCATTCTAGAAACGTAACTCTTCCGTGTCTGGACTTCTACTGTCTAGGTCAAGCCTGTTCTCGAACCGCCAGTGCTGGTTTCTGTGGTCAATCCAGATTCGTAGAATCTCACGACATGGGCTTTCTGGAACCACAGGTCCGTTCTCGACTTGCAGTCAACATTCCCTGTCTTTGGTCAATCAAGACGGCCCTGAACTCTTGGGGCATTCGTAGCTTTCCGTCCTTAGGTGGTCTAGAAAAAATGACGTGCTACGGGGTCGGCTGAGTGCGAAGCAACCGTCCCTGGAGTCTCAGGTCGGTTCAGACCTATAAACTCTCGAGGACTGCTGCCTCCCTCCCCCAGAGGCGGTCCACACCACTGACTCCTGACTCTGCTCAACAACCCAAGCCAGCCACATAGAAGAATCTAGAACCACCAGTCTTTGCCTTTTGGGTGGTCCGGAATTCTGGTGAGACTCAGGAATCCGGCGGATAAAGGGGTCTCAGGGAGGTGCGCAGAACGCAGAGGAATTAAGATCCAGTTTGTCCACAGTGGGGCCACTAGGCATAGTTCAGTGGCTAGGAATTCATCCAGCGGGCCTGGCGGTTGTGGAAAACACCTGGCCCCATCCCGGGAGAGGGCCCGATCTCTCCACCTTGCTACCTCTGGGAAGGGGGTACAAATGGGGAGATACCAGCTGGCATCATGGGGGCGGGGGCAGGGCCAGGGTTGGTGTGAGTACTCGGGAACTGGCAGCCCCATCTTCTGCCTCCACCTCGTCCCCCTCGTCGCCTTCCTCCTCCTCCTCCTCCTCCTCCTGGCAGCAGCTCAGAGCAAGTTCATTCTCATAACAAAACGCAGCCAGAGAGCTGGGGAAGCTGCACTTGGGGCTGTGGCAACCCCGTTCCGCCCGTTCATCCAGCTCCTTGGCGCTACAGACTGGTGTCCCTGGGACTTCATAAGTGCGATGGAAGTGGCGATAGTCCACCTCGTACTGGGAGCCGCGCTGGAAGAGGACCGGCTCGAAACGGTGGCCCCAGAGCAGCTCCCCAGGGAGGTACGAAGAGCGACACTGTGTGGTCATAGCTGTGGCCTCAACCATGCCCTCAAGGATGACCACTAGCTCGAAGTCAGCCCGGGCCAGCTCGGCACGTCCTAGTTCATAGAGAGGACTGGAGGAGTCGATCTCGTGCACGATGGTGATGGGAGACACGAGGAAGATGCGATCGGTGCCACCGTCAAAGCCCACGTCCACGTCCTGGTGGTCCAGCGGTATGTACTCACCTTCCGGGGTCACACGAGGCTGCAGTGAAAGACAAGGGGCCAGAGACAGACAGCAGGGAGCACGGAGATGGGAGGAGCCAGAGACGGCGGACAGAGATAAAAGGAGAGGACCAGCAGGAGAGACGGTGCGGTGAGTAGAAGAATCCAGAGGGAGGGATGGTGACCAGAGACAAAGGAGGACAGAGGCATGGGGGGAGGGGACAGAGTCCCAGAGGGTTTGGGGTTAGGAACCCGAGGAAGAGATGAGGGAAAGAGGAAGACAGGGACAGAATGGCATTGGCATAACAAAACAGATGATAAGAACGATACCCAAGCAGCAATTGGAGGAGAAGAGGAAAAGAAAAGTGGCTTTCAATAAAAGGCCAGAGAAAGATAAAGCAGGTTGACCATCTGGGGCCCACATACTGTGTTCCAGGCTAGCCCCTGGGCTCTCCGCCCCCCCCATCCCCATCGCAGCCACAGCCCTGCATCCCCGCGTGTAAATGGGTGTGTAAGGGGTGTTCGTGTGCGGTGGGGGTGAGGGCATGCGGTCCACAAGCCATCCACTGGCAGTTTGAGAAACTGCCTACCCACCTACCCACGGGTGCATACCCATCTCCCAGGCCATGTCAGCACCCCACAGACTTCTGGGATAGACAATATCCCTCCCAGGAGACAGAGGTGGGGGGTGGGACCCATTCTCCCCGACCTGTCTGTCTCCCACAGACTCCAGGCACTGCGGGGAGCTACTGTTCCCACCACCGCCCTGTCCCCTCTCACCCGAGTCCAATCTCAGCCCGAGGTTAAGTGTCTACATGGATGAGGGCACCTAGCCCTAGAATTTGGGCAGTTTGACTACAATTCTAGAAACACTAAAGCACCTCCCATGGGAGGGAGCCACTAACCCAGGAGCCAATGGGAGTTGTTGTTTTGTTTGTTGCTGAGAAGAGAAAATTCAAGTTTCCCAACGTGGCCCTGTACTCCTTAAAGCAGGAGGCTGGTGGGAGAGATTGGGTCGCCGAGGTGGGGGAACCCCATGCTCAGAGGCCATGGACCTGCACCCTATCCTGAGACCTACAATCCCACAATCCCACAATCCCACAATCCCACAGTGGCCAGGCCTCAAGTCAGAGGCCGCTGGGAATTGGAAACCTGAGAGGTGATGTACACCAGCTGCAAAACTACATCTCACAACGCCAACCAGGGGCACTCTCCCTGCCCCCCAGCGCCTTCTGGGAATTGTAGTCCAGAGCCTTTACAGGCCAGGGGTGGCCCTGTCAAGGTTTAGATTTACTACAGTCCCATCGGGAAACTATTTTCAAGTTCCGGAACACTCTTTATGTCTCAAAATTTGTCTCAAGTCTAGCCCTCCATGAAGAGTTGGTCACAGACTTCTCTCTTGGGTTCATATTTACAATAGCTCCTGGCTGGACTCAAGCACAGACCACAGTTGGAGCTGGAAGGTCCCTGTCTGAGAGACTGCTGGGAATTGTAGTCCACACACCCTTCAGGGTCGACTCGCACCTCGCCCTCAGGCCTACATCTCCCACAATGCCTCGGGGTCCCTCTCCACCCTGCCAACAGCCCCTCCTTGAGGCGGTGGCCTCGCACCTGCAGCAGCTGGGCCCGCACGTGGGCCTCAACGAGGTGGCTGCGGCGCAGGTTCCCGACGCGCCACATAAGACAGAGGCGGCGGTCGCGCAGTGCCACGACCGCGTTCTCGCTGAAGACGAGCGTCTCGTTGCGCTTCTTGGGCTTGGCCATCTTGGCCATGACAGCGCCCACGACGAAGGCGTCCAGCACACAGCCTGCGATGCACTGCAGCACCACGGCGGCCACGGCGGCCGGGCACTCCTCGGTGACGCTGCGCACGCCGTAGCCGATGGACGTCTGCGTCTCCAGCGCGAAGAGGAAGGCGGCCAGGAAGCTGGCCACGTGGGAGAAGCAGGGCGCGGGTGGCGGCGGCGCAGCCAGGTCGCCGTGCAGCGAGGCGATGAGCCAGAAGGCCAGGCCGAAGAGCAGCCAGGAGGCGAGGAAGGAGCAGGAGAAGAGCAGGCACATCCAGCGCCAGCGCACGTCCACGCACGTGGTGAACAGGTCGCTCAGGTAACGCGCACCCTGGCCACCCAGGTTCACGAAGCGCACGTTGCAGTGGCCGTCTTTCTTGACGAAGCGCCCGCGGCGCTGCCCCACCAGCGAGGGTGCTGGTGCCCACCCGTTTCGGCACAGCCCTGGCCCGGCTTCCTCCTCATCGCCTGCCCTGCTGTCCCCCGACTCCAGGGCGCCGCTCAGGCGGCGCAGGGCCCTGGCCAGGCCCATTGGGCGGGGACAGCCCCTCCACTTGGACTAGTGGGGGGCGGGCGCCCCAAACCTGGGGGGACAAGAAATGGGCAGAAACATCAGAGGTGCCAATAATGGGTGGACATGCTCCCTGGGCCTTAGGGGCCTCATCTGGCAAATGGGTGGAAGGGTATTCATCTTGAAAGTCAAAACAGTAGTGTCAATGACAATGACAGTAATTCTTGTAGTGACAGCGACAAAACTATAGCCAGGACAACACCGTTGTAGCAAGCGCCCTAATAATCAGAGCTGACTTTTCTACAGTGCCAGACACTGTTTTGAGCATTTTACGTGAATTCCCGTATTGGGGCCTCAGAGCTCAGTAGTCATTATCCCTTTTACAGAAAGGAAACTGAGGCACAGTATGTTGAGCTTGCCTGCAGTCACAGCTGATGAAGCCCGTATTTCAGTGCTGGCCATCTGGCTCCACAGCCCAAACTCCTAATGACTGAGTGGCCACCGCCTCTCGGCATGGTATTCAGCACCAGGAAATGAGCTGGAACTCTGAAGTTCCCTCCAGTTCAGAAACAAGCTCAGGGCCCTGGCTGATGTGGCTCAGTTGGCTGAGCATCCTCCCCCAGAGGGAAACGTAGCTGGTCTGATTCAGGGGTTGCAGCGCCACCTGGGTTGCAGGCCAGACCCCAGTCGGGGAGTGTGCAAGAGGCAACCAATCAATGTATCTCTCACACTGATGTTTCTCTCCTTCTCTTTCTCCCTCTCTTCCCCTCCCTATCTGTAAACAAATAAGTAAACAAATCAATAAATAAGATCTTTGTAAAAGGCTCAGAAAGCACAAGCAACAAAAGGGAAAAAAAGATAATCTGAACTTCATCAAAGTTAAAAATGTTTGTGCTTCAAAGGACACTATCAACAAGGTGAAAAGAGAACCCACTGGTGGGAGAAACTAGTTACAAATCGTATAGCTAAGACATTTGTATCTACAATATATAAAGAGTCCTGCCCTGGCTGGTGTGGCTCAGTGGACTGAGCGCGTCCCTGAGAACCAAAGGGTTGCTGGTTGGATTCCCAGTCAGGGCACATGCCTGGGTTGCAGGCCTGGTCCCCCACCGCTTGGTCCCTGGGGTGGAGGGGCATGTGAGAGGCAACCACACATTGATGTTTCTTTCCCTCTCTTTCTCCTTTCCTTCCCCACTCTCTAAAAATAAATGAATAAAATCTTTAAAATTTTTTTAAAAAAATAAAGAGTCCTTACAACTCAATAATAACGAGACAATCTATCTTAAAAACAGGCAAAGGATCTGAATAGACTTTGCTCCGGAAAAAGATCTACAAATAGCCGATGAGCACATGAAAGTATCGCCCTCATTGGCCATCAGGGATGCTAATAAAACCAGCCCGACACACCCCTTCGCAACTACGTACCATGGCTGTAATACGAAACAATACGTAAACCAGAAATAAGTGTTGACAAGGACGTGGAAAAACTGGCACCACCCCCCCCCAGGTCTGGCAGGTCCTCAAATGGTTAAACATGGAGTTGCCATGTGGTCCCCCAATTCCGCTTCTAGGTGTCTCCCAAGAGAAATAAAAAGTGTCCACACAAGACTTTGGACACATGTTCATAGCGGCACTATTCACAATGGCTAAAAGATGTCAACCACCCAAATAGCCAACCATTGACAAATGGGTAAATAAAATGTGGTATTTCCACACAATGAAGTACTACCCTGTATTGAAAAGGAAGTTCTGCCCTGGCTGGTTTGGCTCAGTGGATTGAGCGCCAGCCTGCAAACCAAAGGGTTGCTGGTTCGATTCCCAGTCAGGGCAGGGGGCATGTGAGAGGTAATTGCATGTTGATGTTTCTCTCCCTCTCTTTCTCCCTCCCTTCCCTTCTGTCTTAAAATAAATAAGATCTTAAAATTTAAAAAAAGTTCTGACACACATGACATATTTGAAGCTTAAAGACATTACGTTAAATGAAAGAAGCCAATCGCAAAGACCACATGCTGTATATTTCATTTATATGAAATGTCCAGAATGGGAAAGTCTGTAAATTCAGAAGACAGACCAGTCAGGCCCAGGCTACCCAGAAGGGTTGGGGAACGGTAGCCAGAGGACCCGGCGTTTCTTAGTGGGCATATAAGTGTTCTAAAGTCAGTCGCGGTAGTAATTACACAACTGAGTATACTAAAAATCCCTTGAATTGTACACTTTAACATGTGAGGTGAGTGATATGTAAATTATCTTCCGGTGAAGCTGTTACAAAACACACACACATGCACACAATCAAGGCTCCCTCCCGACTCTCAGACCTTGGGCGAGTCCTTCTGAGCCGGACTCCTCGGCTGTAAGATGGGGAAGCGAGTTCCTCACTAAGGTCAGGAAGGGCTTCTAGTCCTACAGACCCAGGGCCCACTCCTGGCTCAGTTGTGGACCCACTGTGTGCCCGGGGATGACTGACTTCCTTTTCTTCCTTTCGGATGGAGCCTCCGGTTCCTCATCGGTGAGGTGGAGGTGAGGAGAGGGAAGGGACCTCGTCGCCCTCCGGGGCCACATCCGGTGCTGTGGCGGAGGGATCCCCCGGCCTGTCTGGGCTGGGGGTGGGGTATCTGCCCTAAGGGCTCCATCAGTATTTCTCGAGCACCTGGGGTACTCTGTTCCCCTGGGCCAGGCTCTGGGATCCAGATGGGCTTCTGGGCAGGGTTGGGGGCATTCAGTCTGGAGAGAGGGCTGTTAGTCAATGTCAAGTTCCATACCTAGGGGTCCACGATCCCAACCCACCCTGGCCTCCTGCTCTGCCCCTGCTGCCCATGACCACCGGGACAGCCCTGCCACCCGGAGGTGGTTTATTTTGCCCGCTCCAGAGGCAAAGCTGCGGCCCGGGTCACAGTGGACTGGGTCTGGCTGTGTCCAGCACCCAGGACGTACCCCAGCTCTTTCTTTTCACCCTCAACTACAGACGGCTCTTCCAAAGTGGGGAAACTGAGGCTAGTCGCCAAAGAGGGTAGGTTCGACGTCAGGGTCCAGGCTCTGACCTCGACACTGTGGTCCCCTCCTGCCGGGGAGTCCCCCCTGTTGGGAGCCATGGGTGGCAGCGTAGTGGGAGGCAGGCTGGCCTCCCACTGTCCCAGCCCGTCCCAGGATGGGCCTTGTCATACCTTCTCTGACCACACCCCGGGGATTTGGCCCTTCGCAGGGGAGGAGACAGCTGCAGGCCTGTCCCCCGGCTGGGGAATGGCAAACCCTGGACCCCCATCTGGGGCTTCTTGGGTGGCAAAGCCTGAGCTGCAAACCACAGACGTTACTGCAGGATGTCTTGGGCCTTAGGACCAGCACCCCTTGGGTGTCCACAGCCCGGCCACTGGACGCCCCCAGCCCCCACAGCTCACCTGGACTGCTCAGAATGCGGGGAGGACAGGGTCATTGGCCTGCCTCACAGGTTGCGGAGCAGGCTCGGAGACCCAGCCAGGCCTGTGCAGCATGAGGGTGGGAGCCTTGCCAGCCCACAGCACTGCCTCCTAAATCCATCCCCGAGGCCCATACTCAGCCCACTAAGGCAGATGTGACCGTCCACCTCACAGAGCAGACTAGGTGGGGGCTTCACATCCTGGGGGCCTGTCTACCCCCCACAGGACCTCAGGGGTGGGCGCTCCTGGGACTCAGGGTGATCCCTCCCTGGCAAAGGCAGGGCCTGAGGGACAGGCTCCAGAGCCTGAAGTCCTCCCCCCGCCCCACACCCCCCTCACCTGTCAGAGCAGCTTAACGTTTCCATATAAAGGAGACGGGGGCTTAAGGTGCCTGAACTTGGTGTCAAAGTCACGTCTAATCTGAGGCCAAGAAGCTCCGCCTCCAGGCCCAACCTTCCTCTCTCCCCCCCCAAAGAAACCCACACTTTAACCCTCTTGCCCTGAGACCCTGGGCATTTCCCCTCCCCCCCCCCCGTGGGGTCTGGGAGGCAGACATTGCGGGGAGGGGGTGTAGGAGCAGAGACTGGGGACAAGAAGGGCGCAGGGGCCGAGAGGGAGCCTGAGACAGAGGGAAGAATAGGGATGGGGGAGGGCGGGCAGGGACCCTGAAGGGACAGACCTGGATGGAGACAGAGACCCCCAGGGGGAGACAGACACCAGGGGACGGACGAGGGGGGCGATGGGAAGTGGGAGACCACGGCTTAGGAAACGGAAGGCCGGGGAGGTGGGTCTGGGCAGACAGGCCAACGGACACTCAGAGACGGGGTGAGAAAGAGGCTGTTGAGAAGGAGGGTGGGGGGCAGAGAGACAAAGCAGAAAACATCGATGGTGTCAGAGTCCGAGGCACTGCACTTGAAGAGAAGGCCTGTCCTGGGGGTGGGATGTCTCTGGGGGTAAGACAGGACCTCTCTGAGGGGTAACAGTGAAGATGGGGGAGGGATGATGGGGGCAGAGACACCCCAGCCAGCAGGGTGGGGGCGGAAGGAGGTGGAGTGGCCCCCAGCCCTGGACGCCTGCTCACGGCCTCCACATGGAACACGTACCTGGTGGGGCAGCCCACCCCCATGCCCTCCGCCTGGGGCCCCTCTGTGGGCGCTGAGGGGCTGCGGTCTGTCCTTGGCCCTGGGGGCCTTGTGCTGGGCGCTCGACCTCTATGTCCACAGGCGGATCAGAGGCCCAAGGGGGGGGCAGGGGGTGGGGCCAGCTCAGAGCCGCAGAGGGGGAGCCAGGGAGGACGGCCAGGCAGGCTGCTGGGCCGCAGCCCAAGCGAGCTGGAGAGGAGACGGTGGCAGAGACGCAGAAGGGGGAGGGGGCAGGGACACAGTGCAGGGGCCGGGAGACAGGAAGATGGGGGCACACGGAGGCGGTGCGATCACAAGGGGTCAGTGATGGAAGGGAGGAGAAACGGGGGCTCCCCGGTTCCTGGAGATGAAGCCTTGAAAAGCCGGGGTCACAGGTGAGATTCCCTCCCAAGGCCGCGGAGCGGGCTCCAGATGGAGTGAGATGCAGGGCAGGCAGCACCGGGCGGCAGCGCCCAAAGGGCCGAGGGCTGGAGCAGGTGCCACGCTGCCCCCCCCCCGCGTCCCCTCACAGGACAAGCCCCACACACGTCAAGCCTCTTCCGGCCCTTTACTGCCTCTTAGGAGCCCCGAATCTCCTCCTCCCCAGGGAGGAGGGGAGAGGCCCATGCAGCCCCCCCCCCGCCCCGACTGTTTAGTCCTGGTGGCAGGAAGGGATAGACTCTAATCCTGCTGGTGAAGCCCACCCCTCAAATCTGGTCCAGCCAGTGTGAAGCCATTGGGTTCTAGGGGGCCAGAGGGTCGGGCCAGGTGCCATGGCTGACAAAATACCCATAGCAATTGGGGCCACACTGGATCCCCCAGGAAACGGGGGACAGAGTCCTCTGAGGGTGGTGTCTGGGGGGGGGGAATCACTGGGCTGAACCAAGTTTTTGGGCGGGTGGGGTCCCTGGAGTCAGACCCAGTGGTTTCTTCGGAGGGCCGTGGGTCAAACCAAGTCCTTTGGCCAGAGGGGTCATTAGACCAAATCAGGTTGTTTTACGGGGTTGCGAGTCAATCCTGTCCTTCGGCAAGAGAGGGGTCTCCGGAGCAGACAAACCCTTTCCAAGCACAGTTTAAGTCCAAGAGGAGCCACCATGGTGGCCAGCGGGCCAAGCAAGGTCCTTCTTTAGGAGGGGGCTGGTCGCCGGCTCTGAGTGTGTGTCCCTTCCAGGGGAACCAACCCAAACTCCGGTTCCCTGGCGAGGCCGGGCCAGGCGCGGCCAGGCCGCCTCAGACACTGATGGTGCGGAAGACGGTGAAGCCAGACAGGGCGGTGCTGACCAGGACCCCGGGGCACTGCGGGTGCCAGTGCAGCTCCTTGAGGTCTGTCTCGCCCTGGTGCACAAACAGCAGCTGCTGTGGGAGGTCAGCCAGGCCGGGGTCGTTCTCTGCGCCGCCCGCTTCAGGGTCCCGCTCCACGGCCAGGTCCCACTGCGTGACCTGGTTGTCCGCACCCGAGGCCGCGAAGACCCCACTGTCCTGGGGATGCCACTCAACGGAGGTCACAGGGGCCACGTGCTGCTTGAAGGTGGCCACTGGGGAGCCAGACTGTGGGGAAGGGGCAGTTTGAGCGCTTCGGACTGACTCCTGGGGTACCCCAGCCCGAGCCCCTCACCCCTCCCTGGTCTCGGGGTTCCACCAGGGCTGCACCCTGGAGTCCCCACAAACCCAGATTCTCTGAAAGGACAGAGAGTAAAGTATTGCTGGTCATAAAGGTGTAACATCCCAGGGGATGCTTAGAACTGTGGTTTCACCTGTAAAGAATCCCCTCGGCAGGGGGTAAGGGGGGTTCCCTAAGTGTCTCCCCCACTGAGTCTAAGGCCTTACAGGGCTGAGCACGGCTCCTGGGCTCCAGAGGGACCCGGCGCAAAGAACAAAGACACTTCCCTACACAAAGGTGCTGTGGGGACGGGTCTCCCCAATTCAGAGAAGTGGCTCCCGAGTTCCGAAGGTGAATTAACTCGGCCCTGAGACCTGGCCAGACACCTGCCCTGGCTGATTCCGTGGAACCCGTTACATGGGAGGGAAAAAAGATCGCCGGCCAGTGATCCCGGGAAGGCGCGGAGCCACAGGAAGTCAGGGCGTTGCTCAGAGGGGTCCTGAAAGCGGCCGTCTCTCCTGCCCAGACCCCCCCAGCCTGCAAAGCCCACTCTGGCCATAACGTCATGCCGCGCCTTGCTATGTCTTGCTGTGCCTCGGTTTCCCTCTCTTGCAATGTGTGAGCCAGGCTCCAACTCTCTGATGATTCTATAGAATCCACTAAAAAGAAAAACAACTCCCAGCAGCCCAAGCAGCTGCACGGCGCCTGCACGAGCAGCTGGGAGCCGTGGTCTGCACCTCTTGCCAGCGCTCTAGCTGTCAGAGCGAGTGACTCCACACCCGCAGTCCTCCTGCTGAGCCTGTTTCCTCACCTGCACCCCAGGGGCTGGACCCAAATGCAAAGGGCTTTCCTGGCTCCAGTGCATAAAGCCACCCACGGAGGGAAAGCTCAGACCCCAGTGGCTGCTGCCCCAGGAACCCGGCTGGGGAAGTACCTTGAACTGCCGCAGGTCCCAGACCTTGAGGGCCCCGTCATCCCCACCACTGAGCAGGAAGGGCTCCCGGCGGCTCCAGTTGATGACGTTGACGTCCCCGTCATGGGCGGTGGCCGTGGTGAGCATGCAGGCCTTGCTGGGGGCTGCCCGGATGTCCCAGATGCGAATGGAGGCATCAGCGGAGCAGGATGCAAATACCTGGAAGAGGAGTATGAGCGACCCGGGATTCCCTCAGTCCCACTCGAGACCAGGTACTGGTCAGTCACGGGCCCCTCACCAGGCCCTGCCCCCGGCCCTCCCTCACCGTGTCCTCGGTCGGAGACCACTGCAGGTCCTCCACGGAGCGTGTGTGGCCCACAAAAGGCCGCTGGTCCACATGCCAGGAGCTGCCGTCTGTGGGCGTCCACAGGTGGATGTTCTTCTGACAGTCACCTGTCAACAGGCGCCCTGGGGAAGGGAGTCAGGATGCCACCTGGTCCCAGCGGGCCATCGCTCGCTCCCCTCCCTGGAGTCTCAGCACACTGTTCCCGACCCTGGCTGCAGACCCTGCCCCCTCTCACCCCCCAGGACCAAGCGCACACCCCAGGGCCTCACCAGGCACACGGGGGGACCAGTCCAGAGCAAAGCCCTCGCCCATATGGCCAGCGAAGGCAAAGATGGGCTTTGTGCGGGCTTGCTCATCCCGGAGGAAGATCGCCAGGGCCTGGGGGTCATCGACCACCTGCAGGAGCCGCCGCAGTGCAAACACCTCCACCTGGCCCTTCTCCGACCACACCCCGGCCACCGGCTCCTCGCCCAGCCACGACACCTGTACGGAAGAAGGCAGGGGGGCCAGGTTGGGACAGAGGCCCAGGGCAGTGACCACGGCTCCCTGCATCCCTGAGAACTAGGGCTCCAGCTCCTCAGACCCTGGCCCCCACCCCCTGGGCTGGGACTACAAGCCCAGAAGCCCTTGTGGGAAAGGACCACAGTCTGCAAGGCCAGCGTGGTGCCTGTGACAACGTTCCATTCTGTGGGAAGAGGTAGCAGCGGGGGCAGAACAAAACTTCAAGACTCCTGTGAATCGAGGCTGTGATTCCTGCCACCTGTAACCCTCTCAAGGTCAAACAGTCACAGGCCTCGGACGCCTGTCCATTTGCTCACAAGATAGATCCAGCCTCAGGGTTTCCAGTAGCCCCCGGCCCTGACCCCCTCGAACCCCAGACTCCTATCACACTAACCATTCAGCCTTCACACCAGCAGAGCCAAGCTGCTACCTGATCACCTCAACCTACTGCTCCCCAAACTGCAGGACTTCCTTTGTACTTGTCCCTTCCTCACGCCTGCCACCTACACGGGTCCCACTAAAAAACGCGGCACTTCTAACCCCTTCTAGCTACCTCTATTGTTGTCACTTGAGTTACCACTGATGTCGTCCTTCCCTGAACTACAGCCGCTTACGGGATGCTGTCCTGCTCTTGCTTCCCTGCAGCCTATCCCCAACACAGCAGCCAGAGGGATCCCTTTAAAACACAAGCCAGCCCTGGCTCGTGTGGCTCAGTGGACTGAGCACTGGCCCATGAAGCAAAAGGTTGCTGGTTTGATTCCCAGTTGGGGCACACGCCCCCCCGGTTGTGGGCCAGGTCCCCTGTTGGGGGGCGTGCAAGAGACAGCCAGTTGCATGCACCGATGTTCCTCTCCCTCCTTTTCTCTAAAATAAATAAATAAAGTCTTTAAAACACAAGTCAGATCCCATGTTCCCACTGCTCTACTCTCTAGTGGCTCCCAGTTTCTCCCCAAGTCCTCACAACGGCCTACAGAGCCCTGACCAATCTGTCTCATCCGTGCCCACCCCTGCAATCTTGTCCCAAGTCATTCTGCTGTGGTCTCCCCCATTTCCCTCACCACTCCTCAAACATGCCAAGCTCACCCCAGGGCCTTTGTACTTGTTTCCCTCGCCTGCAGATCAGTCCCCACAGACCCTGGGCTCATTCCCTCACTTCCTGTAGGTCTCTGTCTAAATGGCACCTTATCAGGGAGTACTTCTCAGACCACACTGTTTAAAATAGCAACCACCCTGGCTGCTGTGGCTCAGTGGATTAAGCGTGGGCCTGTGAATCAAAGGATCACCGGTTTGATTCCAAGTCAGGGCACATGCCTGGGTTGTGGGCCAGGTCCCCAGCTGGGGGGTGTGCAAAAGGCAACCACACATTAATATTTCTCTCTCTCTAAAAATAAACAAAATCTTTTAAAAAATAAAATAAAATAAAATAAAATAGTAACCCACTCAGAAACACCCTAACCCTTTTACCTGACTTTATTTTTTCTCTACAACACTTCGCATCTCTGACACAGTAAACATCAACTTAGTTTGTTCTTGTTCCCTTCTCCACTAGCACATAGGTTTCCTGCAGTCGGAGACCTCTGGCTCCCTGTTAAGTCCCCAGGGTCTCAAACAGTGCCAGAGACACTGCGGTAGAGACACACAGCCCACAGGGTAGGACTATACCCTGAGCACTGCCCGGACTGCTATTCACATGTCATCTCCTTCAATCCCCACATCAACCCCATCAGAAGATGCCACCACCCTGAACCACAGAGGTGATGCCACAGTTCCCAAAAAAATAACAAGAAACCACAAAGACACACTACAACCAGACGCTGTTTCTAAGCACCTGAAATAATTGTCTGTTACTCATTCTGTTTTATCCTCACATCAGGCAAGTTTTGTAACTCTCAGCATTTTACTGAAAAACATAAAAAAATACCTCCACAGCACCTGGCACCCAGTGACAATTCACAATAGCTAAGAAATACACAAATGAATGTAGACAATTACGAGGCCGACGCTTTCCCAAAAGCGGAAGGGCACAGCGACGGGCCCATCTGGACAGGAGGGGCGGGTTGTGTTCCAGAGTACGTGTGGCGCACTCCCGAGGCCGTACTTACCCGAACTCGGTTGATGCCACCATAGTGGGGCACCATAGCCAGTTCCAGCTGAGGCTTCCGCTCTTCTTCATCCTCTTCATCTTCCTCCTCCTCTTCATCGCTGCCCTCTGATGGCGGGGGCTTCGTGCCGTGCAGATTGTGCATTCGAAGTATCATTAATCTGGGGGAAAGTGTGATGTGACTTTCCTAAGGCGCTGGGTGTCAGGATCCTTAGGGAGGAGGAAAGATGGAAATCCCAACTTCTGGGTCTGAGGAAGGGAGAAGCTGGAAGCCCTACCTCCTGGGTCCTGGGGGCTAAATCCTGGACCCTGAGGCAATGAGAGGCCGGGGACTTGGATTCCTGGTTCTGGGAAAGCCTTGCGTTTCACCCACCTGTTGCTTTGGGCGCTCTCCGCCTGGGTCCCAGCACAGAGGTAAAGCGTAAGAGGAAACTCTGTCCGATTGTCTCCAAGGTGATCCCGGACTATGTCAAAGCTGAGACAGGGGGCGCCTGGGGCGGGACGGAGAGGTTGGAAAGTTAGGAAGGACAGCAGGATCTCAGGCCCCTCCAGTGTGAATGTCGCCCCTCTTAGACCCGAGTCTTCTCTCTCAGAGCTCCTGTTAAGTTAAATGCGCAGGACCTGATCACCTCAGGACCCAGGAGGTCTGGGTATCCAGCCCTACCAGTCTGCGCTCGGTGGTACAGCAGGTAGGCCTCCTCGTCCATGACCAACTCCTCTCCTTCGCGCAGCGGAGGCCCCCGGCCAGGCAGGTAGACCTGGGCCGGACCCTCCGACCCTGCGTCGTGAGACTCGGCCTCCATGGGTTCCTCTGTTTCACACGTGCGCCGCGGACCCTTGCGCGCCGCCATCTTAGAAGCCTCTCACCATGGGCGCGAGGTAAGAGCGTCACTTCCGGGTTGCTCTTCTCCTCCCCTCCCCCCTTCGGAGGTACGCCAGGCTGCGCAGTTACTTTGGAAACCTTCCAGTTCACTGATTAAAAAAGGAGATAGGGACAGGGAAAAGGAGAATTATGGTAACAGCGTCCTGTTTAGCCTAGGATGGCTACAGTGACTACCGGGAAATTGCACGCGCCGCGTGCCTTTGGGCGCTCTTCTGCTGTGCAGTAGCAAGGCCTCCTGGGAGTTGTAGTCCTGCGGCAGGCCTCCGTCTTCCCATTAACTATAGTTCTGAGCCTCCACTCGATTTTCCATCTTTGACTCTCAGCGCTTTATTTTAACTTAGTTGATTATTCATGTATGCAAATAAGAGCTCTTATTGACAAGAACCGTTTCTATTCTCTGAGGACTCATAAAGCCGGTTTCTTCTTCCCTCCTTGTGATGATGGCTTTAATTTACTTGAAAATGCTTAATGTAAACAGGATGATATTAACGCGTAAGTGAGTCGGTTGAACCTACCCTCTCAGGGCAGTCAACCGCCTAACCAGGACTTCACATTGCAGCTACGGTCAGCGAGCACTTCATCGGAAAGTCCACCCTCTAGAGGCAGCGATTACGAGTGCTTTGATTCTCTTTATGGCCCATCAGCACCAGGGGTTTGGCTAATTGGCATAATGAAATGTTAGAAATGTACTCTCATTGGTGAGGTTAACAGTGTTCAAGATATGTGGGTTGGCTGGAATGTATTAGACACTCTCCTCGCTTGCACGAACAGGATATTAAGAGTATTGTGAGCCTCATCCCTGGAAGCCAGAGGAATGGGACCCTAGACTTGACCTAAAATGCTTTGATCCTGGTTCTTTCCTGAGTCCCTGTCCCCCATACCTTTAGGTCTCTGTCTGCCCCTGCCCCTTCTCAGCCCTTCCCTCCTTCGGGACTTTTTTTCACCTCCTCTTTCTGGGGCTTTGGCTCCCACCTCCCTCGAGGATCTCTGTTCTTGCTCTAATTCTCTTTCTGCCCTCTTTCTCTGTGGGACTTTTCTTGGTTTCAGTTTCTTCCAGATGTTTGGAGGCGGGGGGCTAAGAGACAGACGCGGAGCTCATACTTGGACTGAGGAGGCATAAAAACATGGTTTATTCCAAACACTGCAATGTGAAACAGGAGAGTGGGGAGGCAGGTTGGTGGCCAGTGTGGGCTTCAGACCCTCCCTTCCACAACCCAGCTCCAGACCCGGCTGGAGATCTGGGAAGGGGAGGCTTTGGGTGGGTGGGTGGTGGGGGCGTCTGCTGGGCCATCACCGAAGGGTCACAAATAAGGGTTGGATTTGGACAGGATGTGTTTGGCGGCACCTGGGGCTGGTAATGAGGTGCAACCGAGTGGGAAGTTCTGGGCCCTGCATGTTGGGAACAACGGGGCAGAGGGAGGCGGGGCTTCCGTTGGGGGCGTGTCCTATGTCAAAATAGGGAAATGCAACCGAGGACGGGAGAGGGGGAACCGGGTGTCTCGGTTTGATGTCGAGGGTCACAGTCCGGTCGGGGCAGTCTGGGGTTCGGGTCACAGTTTGGGGTCAGGGGTCACAGTCTGGGGTCGGATGACCATTTGTAGGGGTCGGAAGTCACAGTCTGGGGTCAGGGGTTTCTGTATGGCGGGGCCAAGGTCTATGGTCACAGTTTGGCGAACGCGTCTCACAGTTTTGAGTCCCGATGGATGAAAGGTTAAAAACGGGCTTCCCCGGAGGCGTGGCTGGGACCGGGGAGCTGCACAGTGATGTGAGGGCCACGGCCCCGGGCGTGGGGGTGGGGCGCGGGCGTGGCGTGAACCCCCACCTCCCGCCCCATCTGGTGACGTTAAAAAGCCCTTGTCGGGTTTTAAAAAAAGTCCGCTGGGCTCCGAGACCTCTTCCCTCTCGCTCTCAGGCTGGGTGAGAGTCGGGGAACCAAATCCCCTGGGGCTCACAGTGCCTCGAAAACGAAGGGGCACAGGACGCTGCTCCAGGCGGGGTCCGGCCAGTTCCACCTTTTTCTTTCCCACCCACGTGGGTCCTTGTCCACTGCGCGTGCCCCCTCGGGCCGTGGCCTGCGCTGACCGAGGGGGACAGTCGGGCCCCCGGGGCCGCGTCATACCTCGGACTCGAGGCTGGAGAAGTGCGCCGAGCCCCGGCGGGTCCCCAGGTCTGCGCCCCGGTGTCTGCGGTGGGACGCGGTGGGCAGCGGCGGCCCCCAATGCGCTGCGTGCAGGCATCGGCGCGCGTGGCGGGAGGGCCCGGTGAGCCGGCGCGCTGGGGCGGCGCGGGGACACGAGCTGAGGTCCTCAAGCGAGCGAGAGGTGGGCGCGGGCGGCGGGAGGTCCCAGCCCCCAGCTGAGCGCCGGTGGCGGTGGTGGTGCGGGGCGGGGGGAGCGGGCACGCGGTGTGAGGCCCGCGGGCGGTGCCCGTGCGGTCGCGGGCATCCGCAGCGGGCCCGGCGCCGGGGCGGGGGTCCCGCGGCCCAAGGAGGGGGCGGCGGCGCCCACCAGCCGCCGTCCAGGCCGTCGTGTGAGCAGCTGAGGTGGCGCGGCGGCGGCAGCAGCTCCAGGCTGGCGCAGTGGCGGCAGTGCCAAGCGGCCGGGCCGCCGCGCGGGGGCAGGTAGTCCCAGCTGCCAGCGCGCCAGCCCCCGAGCTTGTCGACCGACCAGTAGCGGCCAGGTGGTGGCCCTAGGCGCTCGGCGTACGGGTAGGGGAAGTCGGCGAACCACCAAGGCTCCAAGCCGCCCAGAGACGCGCCGCCCAGGCTCTCCGAGTCCTCCGAGTCAGACGGCGACGGTTCCAGGTCGAGGTACGGGCAGGGAGGGGGCGCGCCGCGGCATGGAGGGGGCGCCCCCTGGGCCCCGCCGCCCGCCCCCCCTGCGCCCGCAGCGCCGCCTCCGCCCGGCCCCAGTAAGGGCTGGCTCTCTGGGTCGGACCGCGGCCAGCGCGCGGGCGCCGGCGGGCTCTCGTCCTCGTAGGCCAGGCGGCAGAGTGGTGGCCCGACGCCGGTGGCCGCGGCGGAAGGGGGCGCAGGTGGCGACGGGAAGCCGGAGTAGGCGCCGGCTGAGGGCTCAGCCGGCTCCTTGTCCCGCACAATGGCGAAGTAGGAGGGCGGCGGCTTCTGCGGGGGCTGAGCCACCGGTGGGGACATGGGGCGCCCGGCTGCGCCCCGGGGCGGTGCGCGCGCCTCGCCCACGCCCAGGCCCTGAGGCTCGATGGGCCCGTAATAGCGGTGGAAGCCGTCCGCCAGACCCGGGACCCCGGGCGGCCCCGGGGCTTTGGCGCGGCGCCAACGATCCACAGCAGCGCGTTCGCGGGGTAGGAAGGGCGCGGGGGCCGGCGCCGGACGCGCCGTCGGGTACGCCGGGCTGGGCAGCGGCTGCGGCGGAGGCGGAGGCTTGGCCGGCGGTGGGGCAGCTTCGGCGCTGCAACAGCTGTACATGCCCTGCGGGGGCCACGGGAGAGGCGGGGTCGGCGCGGTAGGCCAGGAACACCCGCCTCCCCCTGCTCCCCTCCCCCGATTTCTCCCTCCTCTCCCGCACCTCCGCCCGCGTCCCTTCCATTCCTAGGCATCCCTGCCGGCTTCCACCCATCGGTCCCCTTTGCCTGGCTCTCTCCCCGTACCCTGGAGAAGGCCAGCAGGAAGTCCATGCGGTGGGTGGGCCCCAAGCAGTGCCGCAGTCGCCAGTACACCAGGTGCTCCCAGGCGAAGACCAGCAGGGAGAGGCCCATGGCCACCAGGAGCATGTAGAAGACGCCCGCCATGTTGTCGATGTCCAGCTTGCTGCTCATCACCTCGATTTTGTCATTGTGGCAGATCCCGGAGAGCCACAGCCGCTCCAGCATCTCGATCTCGTCTGGGGAAGGGGGCAAGGGCGGGCGGTCAGAGGTCTCCTTCTGTGGGCAACCCTGGGGGACCCTCCTCACCCACACGGGGAGTCTAGGCCCCCGGGCTCGCCCCCTCCCCCAGGCCCCTTCGCGCAGCCGCACCATCCCCCAGGAACTGCAGCAGCGCCAGGTCGATGGGCCGCTTCCAGCGGGAGCCCTTGTGCAGGGCGATGCCGTAGCCCGTGGTGGCAAAGACCTTGCCCGAGCCGATGGTGACGAGCTTGCAGCCCTCATCCTTGCGGGCCATGTAGTTGAGCACAGCCGCGTCATAGATGAAGGCGTCCAGCTTCCTGGGGGCCGGGGTGCGGGTGGGGGGGGTGAAGGGCAGAGTCAGTCCCACACCGATGCCTTCCTGGCCCAGCCCTGAACCCCTGCCACCCCTAATCTCCGACTGCTCCAGTTGCTAAATAGTAACTCTTGAGCAAGCTGCACCACTTTGTGCCTCAGTTTCAATATCTGTGAAGTGGGGATAACAGCGATACATCCCTTGGGGTTGCTGCAAATGTTAGTACTTTGGTGTGAGGAAGTGCTGGAGAAATGTTAGCGGTGACTGTTAATGAGATAATTACTCATTTAATCTGCACCAGAGCCTCTCCAAAGGAGTCCTATATACTCTATTTTAAAGAGGCCTGAGGCCCCTGGGTGGTGTGGTTCAGTGGATTGAGTGCCAGCCTGCGAACCAAAGGGCACGGGTTGTGGGCCAGGTCCCCAGTAGGGGGCGCACGAGAGGCAACCACACATTGATGTTTCTCTGCTTCCCTTCTGTCTAAAAATAAAATAAATAAAATCTTTTTAAAAATAAAGAGGACTGGACATTAAACAAGGAATCATATCAATAATAATACAATGTTAGGGAGGAGGGCATAAGGGGACTAAATGGTAATAAAAATGCAATAAAAATTAAATTTCTAAAAATAATACACTGTTAATGATCACTAATATTGTGCCGGACACTACCCATGTACTTAAGTAACTTATTTAATCCTGATGACATTTCCTATACAGTAGAAACTACTACAGCGTCTCCATTGTTCAGACCGACACACCATCTGAGTTTGAATTTCCTTGTTTCTCCCATGGGGCCCTAATTTCTAAAACGAGGTGGGAA